CAAGCCAGAGGCAGCTGCGGCGGAGGAAAAGGGCTCAACCTGTTTTGCTTGGGGCTCGAATCAGCAGCAAAAGGAGGAAGGAGCGGCGCCCATAGCGCGAGGGCGGGCCCTGGGGTCCGGCCGGCCCCTCTGCCGGGCCAGCACCGCAGGGACGAGGAGGGAGCAGGCTGGAACCAGGGCAGGGTGCGGGATACCGGCCCCAAGGGAGGCAGGAGCTGGTGCGGGGCCAGGCAGGCGGGCGGCCCGAGGTCTGCGCAGGAGGGTGTGGGCAACCTCCCTGGGGCGGCGGCAGGGCCTTCGCCCACAGGAAGTGGAGCTGCCCTGCTCCCCGGTGCAGCCCCACCCTCTACCTGCCCCCTGCCACGCCTCTGCGCTCTATCGGGCCAGGTCAGTTTACTGTCAGGGACCTCCAGCTTTGGGAGACGGAGGCCCACTGACCCATGGGCAAGGAGAGGCCGGCCCCTCTCCAGGCCAGGCTCAGGGCGGCTAGCCTCTCCACCCTCAGCAGCAACACCTCCCTAGGGACTCTCCCAAGCCCAGGGCATCTCCCATTCTTCAGATCCAGATGGCTGGAGGCCTAGGCCTGCCTGCCCAGGGGGCAGTGCAGAAGGGGACCAGTAAGGGACTGTCCACAAACCACCGCCTGCTACTGTTTGCCTCCCAACTGTGGGGAGTGGGGGTGAGGCACGAGAGCTGCCGCCTGAGAAGTGGCCACACCCCGTGCTGGTCCGGTATGCCCAGGGCTCAGAGGTCTGGACACACACGCTTCCGAAGGAGCTATCCAAGAGGGGACACGCGGGGAGAACTGCACAGCAGTGGGTTCCCGGGAGCCCTGGCCTCCAGAATCTCCGGATCCGAGCTTCCACTTGGGTTTTCTGTTCCTTGCAGCTGAAGACGGCTAATGGGGAAAAGTCACCTTGAACCCCGAAGCCCAAAGCGGCGCCCTTCCTTCCAGCACATCACCTCCTCCGGTAGCACCGACTCAGCCCCCCTGAGCTGAGTTCTCCCATCGGGCAGATGGGGTGATGCTTCGGCTCTGAAGACAGATATGGGACCCTCTGTCAGGAGGGGGCTCTCAGGCCAGCAGGTGAGTGGGGGCTAAGGCAGCTACATCCCATATAGCCAACTGTCTGGTTCAAGTCCTGGACCTGGCAGCTTGAGAACACACTGCGCGAGTGCACGTGTGTGCCCAAAATCCCAAGAGGAGACAGGAGAAGGGATTGTGGCGCAGCCATCCCTGGACGGGGTAATTCCTCCGTCTCTGTCTCTCTGGTGAGTGAGTGCACATGCCCTATAGCAAACTTAAAAGCAGGGGCTGGGGGCTCTCACCCTCTCACTGGCAGAAAAACCCCAGCTGGGCTCCCCTCCTGCCTTTGCAGGTGTCCTTCCCATCGTCGCACCCACCAACTTCTGCTGCACGCGGGCTTTCTCCCTCTCCCAAGGCACCCTTCCCGTCGTGCTCTGCACTGCTGCCCCTCTTCCCAGCCGAGTGAGCTTGCCGTGCCATCCTTGGTCTGCCTCCCCTCCTCCTTCCAAGCTCCCAAGGAACGGCCACTTTGGCCTTGGAGCACTCACTGGGGTGCCAGGCGGACCTCTCAGCTTTTTACGTGGGCCACTCGCCTCGTCCTCACCCCGCCCTGCGAGGTACAGGCTGTCATTATCCCCACTTACCGAGGAGCAGACTAGTGATTAAAGAGTTGATGCAACTCACCCAGGTGGCACAGCCAGTGAGCAGAGGGGCCAGGTCTGTCTGATGACAAAGCGTCTGCTCTTAACTTCCAGGTACCTCCCCCCACCCCGCGGGCCTCTGTTAACGGGGCTTCCTCCTCCCATTCTCCAGTTGTCACCCTAATAGAGAGGGAAACACCGAACCTGGGAAGGTGGGGGCTAATGCCGCTGTGGGATGAAAGCCCAACCCTGGCCATGCTCAGCTGACTTGCTGTTGTTTGCATCGCCTGAGGATGCTCTTGGCTGCAAGGAACATGAAGGGTCCTCCGTAATTCAGTGCATTATCTCCCCACACCTGGGCTCGGGGGCAGCGGGCCTCCAAGGATTGCATAGCAGAGCTCTAGCTCCGTGTCTGGGAATTTCTCCTCCATTTACAGGTTGGGCATCCCTGCATTGAAAATCCAACATCTGAAATGCTCCGGCATCTGGAACTTTCTGAGCACCGTCATTCCCATAAGCGGGAACTTCTGCTCCGGACCTCAGGGCATGTATGTAAGGTGTGTACATGAAACACGGACACAGCACGTGTTCGACTTGGGTGCCATCCCCACGATAGCTCATTATGGCCATGGACATTCTCCAGACCCGAAGCACTTCGGTCCCAAGCATGGAGGTCAGGAGCTACTTCAGGGACATACTCCTCGTGGGCTGGTCGCCAGGGAGCCACAGCTGCTCTAGGCTACAAGCCTGGACACAGCCACACTTAGTCCTGTCAGGCTGGCCTGGTCGCCTGGGGGTTGAGGGAGCTGGATCCCACATGGCCAACCACAGTTCAGGGCCAGTCCCAGTGGCTTGAAAGAGACATGTGGGCACATGTGCATGTATACCCGAAGTCCTCCCCTCAACCCCCTGCGTCTCCCTGGTGAGCACGTGTCCCCTGGCAAGAAAGAGACATGGACACTTGTCCCTCTGTCTCATTTTCTCCCGTCACTCCACACAGGAGACCTTCCCTGTGTCTCATTGGCCAGAAGTGAGTCACATGCCCAACTTTCACCATAATTGGCCATGGGAATGGGGTCCCTCGATTGGGCTGTTGAGAGATACTGGGAGCCAACCACGTGACCATCATAACCTTCTCAGCCCAGACCCTCAGACTTACGGGTACCAGCCCCTGCCGGGCCTTGTCTGGACGGGCCCAGAGGAAGGCAGATCTGGTGTCTGCTGACAGGCCCAGCGATGGACAGACAGGTTCTAGAAAAATCTCTCTCCAGGGGAAATGGCTTGAAGGGAGTGAGGCCAGAAGACGGCGTGATAACTGAGAAAGGGATGAGACAGGTTTGGGGTGGGTGGATTGGCGGGTATACCAGGGAGGTAGAGAAGCAAGATATCGGGGTGCCCTCAGAAAAGGGAACTGCACTGGAAGCCACCCTCACCAGCCACTCCTAGGGAGGGGAACCAGTCCTGAAAATTACAGCTTTTTAATATGCCTCTTCGGCTGCAAAAGACAAAACACAATTTGCCTGGAAATCCTGGTGGGTGCACTTGAGCTGGGCTGTGGGGAGTCCCCCACCCAGGCAGATCCCCAGCCTGTTTTGCATAGTATTCAAACACAGTTGCTTGAAGGATTCAAGAAGGAGTAGGTCCAAGGATTGAGAATAAAAGGCAAAACCAGTCGTCATAACATTGATTGAGACGAGGCAGGGCTGCTGAAGCCTTCATCTGCCTCCCCTAGCCAGGTAAACAGCAGGAAGAATAGGAACACCATCGAGGGTGGTGCTACCCGCAGGACCTGCGCCAGCTTTACGGCCAGCCGCGCTGATGCTCACCCCCAGGGCCAGCTATGTGATCCGCAGGGCCAGAGCGAGTCAGAATAGGAGACCTTTAACCAGAAAGCAGAGGAAAAACAAGGCGCAGCTCTGCAGTCTGGTGGAGCAGGCGGCCCAGGAAGGCAGGTGTGCTGCTGGCAGACTGCAAGGAGCCCAGGCTTAAGGAGCCTGCCCACAGGAGGGGGCAGGTCTTGACTGAAGAGAAGGCCGCACCTGCTCACTGGTGAGACCAGGTGGGGAGGAAGTTACGGAGTCACAGTAATAGCCTTCGGGGTCTCACTGCCTCAGGCCCACTCTTGCTTAATCCTCCCAACACCGTATGGGGCATTATGGGCCCATCAACAGATGAGGAAGCAGAGGTACAGAGGGGCCAGTTAGCTTATCGCAATCCCATCAGTACATGTAGAGTCAGTGCTCCCCAGACTGAGTCCAGAACCTGGGGCAGAAGTAGGCTGAGGAAGAAGGGGAAAGGAAGGGAGTCCCCCCCTGAGGTAGAGAGGAGACCAGACCCTGGGGTGGGTCAGGGTGGGGCTCCCTAACAGCAGGAAGCATCCTTGCCCCAAAGCCCTCAGTGGGGGATGAGGCACAGCCCCTCACCCCCTCTCCTCAGGATGTGACATCAATTCTGTTTTTCGGTTTGCCCCAGGGAAAGCAGTTACAAAAAAAATTAGGCTTCTTCCAATCACAAAGGTCTTTTGCACTGACAAGGAACTTTCAGGTTTACTAATCTGCAGCCACAACTGATGCTGAGTTTCCAAGCATCGTCGGCCTTCAGAATCTGGGTGCTGGTCAGGCTCCTTGATGTGTGTGTGTGTGTGTGTGTGTGTGTGTGTGTGTGTGTATTTTTAGTATTTTGCCACAGAGCGCATGCACTTGCCAAAGAGAGACAGAGAGAAGGAAAGTAAGAAAACATCCCCCCAGAGGGTGCGGTCATGCTGCAGTCTCTTCTTCTCCATTCTCCTCTTGGGATTTTGGGCACACACACACACACAGACACACATATGCCTGTTGTGATTTTCAAGCTGCTGGGTCTGAGGCTTGAACTGTGGTCAGCCATGTGGGAATCCAGTGGACCATGCCACCTGCTGGCCCAATATGTATATATATTCATATAAACATTTTTTAAATTGGCAAATTCTAATGGTACATATTCATGGGATAGAGTACGATTTTTCAATACAGGAAAACGATGTGTAATGAAGAAATCAGAGTAGTTAGCATCTCCATCATCTCAAACATTTATCATTACTTTGTATTGGGAACATTCAAGATCATCTCTTCTAGCAATTTTGAAATATGCAACAAATTACCGTTAACTATAGTCACCCTGCTGTGCTGTGAACATTGGAGCTCCCGTCTGACTGAAGTTTTACATCTGTTCACCAGCGTCTCCCTATCCCCATCTTCCGCCTCGCCCAGCTTCCACTATTCACTGTCCTAGTCTACCTTTGTGAGAACCACTGTTTCGGTTTCTACACAAGAGCGAGAACATGCAATTTTCCTCTTTCTGAGCCTGGTTTACTTCCCTTAATATAATGTCCTCCAGGCTCTTCCACATTGCCTCGAATGACAGGACTTTATTGTTCCTGGTTAAATAGGATTGCGAGATAGGTGTATATATAACCATCCTACATATTCGGTATGCATTGGTCCATTGATGGACACAAGTCAAGTTTATATCGTAGCTACTGTGCATAGTTCTGCAATGCACATGGGGGTGCAGCTCTCTCTGATATGCTTATTTCCTTTGGAGAACCTCAAGACCCTGAGTAGCTAAAGCAATCCTGAACAGAAAGAATGAAGCTGGAGATATCATACTACTTGACTTCTAAACAAGTTGCGAAGCCGCGATAACTGAAAATCACGGTACTGTCACCCGCCATATAGCCTGTGCTCACACTGTGCCCCGACTTCCCCCTAACTGTGTTTTTCTGTAGAAAAGATAAGGCTCCCCACTCTCAGAACCAATCTAAACCAGTGAAATTCAGGTGGCCACTGCAGTGGCTTCCAGAAGACCCCAAGCTTCAGCATTGCGAACTTACCACACACACCTACCGGCACTATGGGAGCTTATAATCTTCTGGGAAACCACCAGAAGAACCTTCAAAGGGAGCAAAAAGAGATGGATTTGGGAACTCCAAGAAGTGCCTGCCTTTTCCCAGGAGAATCTGTGAATATTCTTCCCCTCTGTTACCTTCTCCCTTCCCCTCATTGCTCCATTTGCTTTATCTGAAAATCCCCAGCCCAAGCTAAGAGAGAAGGTGATTTGCAAGCTTGTCGCCTCCTCCATCCCTTGGCCATTGGATAAAACTTGTGTTACTGCATGCAGTTTGGGTTTCCTAAAGTTGGCTCCATGACACCACGTGACAAAAGATCCCATCTTTGGGAGTAAATTAAAAATTGGTAACAGCACTACCATAAAACCAGAAATGTATAGACCAGTGAAACAGAATAGAGAACCCAGAAATAAATCCACGTATGTACAGGCAAATTCTTTTCTTTTTTTTTTTTTGGGGGGAGAGGTTTTTTGCTATAGGGCACTTGCACTCACCAGACAGACAGAGAGACAGAGAGACAGAAAGCGGACTAGCTCCCATCCTAAACCTATTGACTGGGTGGGTGGGGGCCAGGGAGTCTGTATAGTTTTTAGGTTTCATGAGTTCGACACACACCACTGGATCAGAACTCCTGCTATCACCTAACTGCCTGTTTTACAGATGGGGAAACTCAGGCCCAGTAAGTGGGTCAGAACAAAGATCCGACGGACAAGGAAGGCATGGTATGACCACCCCACCCCACCCACCTTTCAAGTCTGTTTGATTCCACCATGGTAGCTGTTTCTCAAAAGAGTTTCAAAATGGTGTTCAGCATCCTCTCCCCAGTTTAATAGGTTTTAGTTTTGTTGGAAAATGACTCATGCACAGTAAAGCAAAGCTCAGTTTCAGCCCATTTGGTGTCTAATTATCACCGAGGCAGGTCTTGACTTCAGTCTCAGCTGGGCCAGAAAAATCAGTGAGTGGAAAATGAGGAGGGGATGTCTTCGGGCAAAGGGAATAGCACATGCCAAGACAGGGAACACGGAAGCCCTGGGCACGTCCAGGGAGCAGGACATTAGCGGGGGTGTGTTTGGGATGCGGGGGGACAGTCTCTAGACTTGGAGTCAGAAGAGCTTGAGCCTCACCTCACTGAGACTTGGTTTTCTCATCTGGAAAATGGGGGCGACGAGCCTGCGCATGCAGTGGCGTCGCTCCGAAGCGTCCATAAGATTTATGGGATGCGTGCAGTGGTGTGTGCAAACATGAAAAAGCACCTAGCCCAGGTCCCGTCATGGTAGAGGTACAACTGCCCTTAGCTGCTGACCGCTCTGTCCCCACGGGCTCAGCTGGAAAAATCTCATTGCCAAGGCTTTAGAAAGCAGAACCAAGCTGAGCAGCTGCCAGTCGCTGGGGCAGCAAGATTCTCACCAGACCTGGGGACCGCATGTTCTTGGACCGCATGTCCCAGCTCCCAAGCCCAGCCTCACAGCGCCTTCCTCAGGTTGTACAGAAGAGGCTGTGTTCTCCTTTTTTTTTTTTTTAAGTAGCAGAAAGCGTTCAGGATCAGGCAGCAGTGCAGTGGAGCACAGTGGACCCATGATGAAAGGCCAGGTGCCCGCGCATGCCCACAGCTCTGGCTGGCTGAGACTAGAAGTCACAGTACAGAGTCCTGTGGGGGACTCTCTCTCACTCTCTGTCCCAAGAAAGATAAATTTAAAGTACTCTTTTTTGGGGTGATGTAGCAGCTAAGGCACTCAACTCCCATATGACCAACTACAGTTCAAGTCCTGGATGCAGCAGCTTGAAATGCATGCTGGGTGTGTGTGCATGTGTGCCCCGAATTCCCCGAGAAGGGAGGAGAAGATATTGGGGCGTGGCTATCCCCCTGAGGGTGATTTCTTGCTTTCTGTCCTTTTCTTTTCTACAGTGAGCACACCTACTCTATAGTAAAAGTCTCTCGCTCTCAGGGGAAAAAAAGGTAATCTCTTTTATTTTTGTCATAGGATGCATGTGCTTGCCAGAGAGACAGAGAGGTCGCCCCCCAGGGGGAGTGCCAAACTCCAGTCCCTTCACTTCCATGCTCCTCTTAGGACCTTTGGCACACATATGTCCCCAGTATGACTTTCAAGCCACCAAGTCTGGGACTTGAACCGTAGCCAGCCATGTGGGAATCCCATGTCTTAGTCACCACACCACCTGCTGGCTCCCAAAAGTACTCTTTATCTAGTTTCATTAGATTCTTGAAATTTTATCCCAATTTCTTTATGATTACTTATCTATTTTTATATGTGCACATTAATACAATATTATCTAATTTGGAGACATGCTGCCCCAGCATCCCTGATCTCTTCAAGTGTGTGTTTCTAATAAGAAGAATATTCTCTTGTGTAGCTGTAGTATAATTTTCAGTCAAGTGTAACGTCCGTACGGTGCTGTGTGATTGCACACCGCCGTGGATGAGCTTCCACCCACGGTGCTGTGCTTTGCACTTTGCACACTACAGCGTTTGTCTTCCCCGGCCCCTTCTGCCTCCGCCCTCTGCCCGATGTGTCCTTAACCATGAGGACCTCACACACTGAAAGACTACAGTCCAGTTCTTGCAGAGATCGTGTCTCCATCTGGGATGCGTGGAGTCCTTTTTCACAATTAGAGTCAGAGGATGCACTTTCATTCAGAGGAGTTGGGGTTAACTAGCACAATGGAGTCCTTGCACCTATACTTCTCAGCTCTTGGTTAGTTTCAAGCCCCCATGTCCGGGACTCGAACTGCAGCTGGCCATGTGGGAGTCTAGTGCCTTAGCCACTATACCACCAGCTGGCCTCCAGGTCCTGGTTATTTTCATGTAAATTCTTATTTATTTATTTATTTTAGTATGACCAGAGACAGACAGAGCAAGAGAGAGAGAGAAAGTGAGAAAGCAAGCCGTCAGGTCTGGGACTCAAACTATGGTTGGCCACGTGCAGTCCAGTGTCCTTACCACCACGCCACCTGCTGGCCCTGGTCATTTTAAATGTGGGCAGTTTTTGAACAAAACGACTACATTGTCATTCATTCATTCATCCACACTAAGGCCCTTCTCTGTGCCAGGCTGGGACAAGCAGCGCTGGCTTGTGCAAGCACCACTCGGACCAGGAACTTCAAGCTCAGGGCACTGGCCAGGGCACTGGAGGCCTCGCAGCCAGACGGTTCCTTCCCTTGAGGATCAGGCCACGTCTCTAGGAACGCATCCTCAGACCCTGACTTCAAGGCCCTGTGCCCAAATCACACAGAAATGGGAAAGTCATGCAAATGATGTGCTTTGTCTTAAACAAAACTGACACTGTCACCCTGCCGGGCCCAGGAGCTAGGACAGTGGAAGGGGAGGGAAGTGGTAAGATATGACAGACATTTCAAAACTTCCAGGCCAGAAAATCAGGAACCAGCAGGCTCCAAGTGTCTGCCTCTCCTGGCAGAAGTGCCTCTGGTACAAAGAAAATTACCTATTATTGGAGATTCTTTTTTTTTTTTTTTTAAATTTTAGGGCATGTGCACTAACCAAAGACAGAGATAGAGAAAGTGAGACATCACCCCTCTAGAGCAGGTGGCCATGCTGTAATCCCTTCTCCTCCACACTCTTCTAGGGATTTGGGGCATGCACACACACCTGCCTGGTGTATTTTCAAGATGCAGGGTCTGGGACTCAACTGCATAGTCAGCCGTGTGAGATCCAGCCACCTTAATTAATATCCACACCACCTGCTGGCCCCTGATTTTCTTTTTTTCCTTTCTTTCTTTTTTTAGATTTTTGCCTTAGGGCATTTGTACTTGTCAAAGAGAAATGGAGAGGAAGAGGGAAAGTGAGCAATCACTCTTGGTGGTGGTGGGGATTGACCACATCTCAGTCCCTTCCACATTCTCCTCTTGGGACTTTGGGCACGCACACACACACCAGGTCTGGGGCTCGAACTGCGGAGTTGGCCACGTGGGATCCAGTTCCTTAGCCACCACACCCCTGCTGGCCAGATTTTTTTTCCATAGGCATATTTTTCTTTTCTTTTCTTTTCTTTTGTAGAGGTTTTTGCCTTAGGGCGCACATACACTCACCAGAGAGAGAAACAGAGACGTGAGAGGGAAAGTGAGAAATCATCTCCTAGGGAGGATGGCACAGTCTGTTCTCCTGGGATCTTAGACACACACTCACACGTGCTTGGCGTGAGTTTCAAGCCACCAGGTCCGGGACTTGAACTATGGGAACTATGCGGGAGTCCAGTGACGTAACTGCTGAGCCATCTGCTGGTCTCATAAATGCTTGTTTTTCCAAGTGTCTGGACAAGGCACAGGTTTGTAGCTCTAAAAGTTTCTCCCACAGGACTCCATGGATGGTTGAGCAGGTTGTTCACGGCCCAACGTTTGATAGACATAGAAATGTCTGGTCCAGATCCCACCCCCCTGTCCCTAGAAAAAACCTGCTGCCCCACTGCTGGGTAAGAGGTCAGCAGACCATCTCAGCTCTCAGTTCCTTCAGAGCCCGCTGCAAACGCAGAGCCACCATGCCTGAGTTTACGCCCTCCCTGGGGCAGCTCACATCTGGTGCCTGCTGGAGGCCGGACTTCAGAGTTGGTTCCAGTGAGGCAGAACACTCGCACCAGCGCTGCTTGCTCCAGCATGGCTTGGCTGAGGTGCGGGTGAGCCTGCAACACGGGCGGCCTCCTGAGTGCTGTCCCCTTCCTCTCACAGCTGTGCGTCCCTCCTAAACATCAGGTGCTCCAGCCTGCCTCACTGTCTCTGGAGAACCCAGCCTGTGACACGAGCATACCCAGCCAAGGATGTGGGTGAGGTCTCCGGCTTACAAACGCCAGATGAGGCCCGTCGATCTCCTCAGGGCACTGTCAGGCAGAGGGCATCCAAGGTGGAAGGACCCACGGACTGCAGCAGGTGGGTAAGCCAGAGCCCAGCTGGGGGCAGTTCTTGCCCAGGGTCGCACAGCAAGCTAGTCCTAACACCAGGAACCGGTGGCCACTCCTGCCCACGGGCCAGCCCCTGGCTCCATGGTACCCAGATTCACTGGACGACCTGGCACCGATCCATCCCTTCCCTGAGATCCCTGCGCTGGCCTTCACCTTTCCTGTGGGATTGTTTTTTGTTTTGTTTTGTTTTGTTTTTTATTTTAGAGGTTTTTGCTATAGGGCACATGCACTCGCCAGAAAGACAGAGGAGAGAGACACACACAGAAAGCGAGAAATCACCCCCCAGGGGGGATGGCCACGCCACAATCTCTTCTCCTCCGTTCTCCTCTCGGGATCTTGGGCACGCACGCACACGTGCCTGGCGTGAGTTTTTTT